GGAGCTGATTTTTCTTCTCTCTCTATATATTCCCACTTCCACCTCCCCACAGGTCCTTCCCTACCAGACTGGGAGCCCTCCAAGTCAGAGACTGTATTTTATTCATCTTTATATCCCCACTGCCTATTGGATACTTGGTACTTAGTTGGTAGAGGCTTATTACGTTTGCAAAATTAATCAAGACTTACTATAGCATCCTCCTAGCCAGCTTTGCTTCTTTGAGAAAATTCTGCATTTAAATATTAAGAATGGTTAGGTCTTTATGAGTAGTTAAGCAATCCTGAGAGTAGAGGATATTTCTCAATCAATTTGGTAGTCACCCTGGAAGGTATATAAGTTTTTCAATGCCTTTGTTTAGTCTCATTTTGAAACTCCTTTCAGAATTGAGACATGTCCTTTTCAAATATTTATAATGGTGGCAAATCTTTGCCCTTTTGTAGACTCACAAATTTGGAAACAACCAAAAAAGTAATTTAGAACCAAATCTATTACATGTGTTTATTTTATAAATCAAAAATTTATTTTCATAAACTATTCCAAATGGCAACTCAAGAGTCCTCGACAATGTTTTATACTATTTATAATCAGTAGAACAAGCACATAGCTGTTTCTTCAGTATACTTAATTTAAAGCACAATGCTCACTTAAATATCTATGTTCTGATAAATTTCATTCATTCATATTGAATGCATCTGTGTCAGGCATTAGTGGTATACCTAAAATAAAACAAAGAGCCTGCCATAGTGGAATTCACATTCTAACAGGGGGAGTCAGACAATAAAAAGTCCAATAAATATATATAGAATATATTGCAAGATGATGAGTGCATATTGTCCCTCTTCTACTTAAAATCCTTCAATAGCTCTTGGTTGGGTTTAGGATCAAGTCCAAAATGGCTTAAGAGCACTACAGCTCCTCTTGCCTTTTCAGCCTCCTTGCCCACTGTGTGCCTGTCATACTGGCTGCTGCCTCTCTGTTCCACAAACACACAAAGTCTCTTCCTATTTTCAATGATGCTCTTAAGGAATTTATGCTTCTGTGTGTGTGTATGTGCGCGCGTGCCTATGTGCATGTGCCAGAGGAAGTGGGTGATAGGCAACAGGCAATAGCATATCTAAAAATGTATAGAATATATGAGTGCTATAAAAAAATGAAAAAAATGAATTGGTATAGGTGATCAGGAGTTGGGAATGGGGATGGTGGGCAGGTTGCAGTTTTACTTATTTTATTCATTCATTCATTCATTGAGACAGGGTCTTGCTCTGTCATCCAGGCTGGAGTACAATGGCACTTACATGGCTCACTGCAACCTTGACCTCCTAGTGGACCCAGGCAATCCTCCTGTCTCAGCCTCCTGTGTAGCTGGGACCACAGGCATGCACCATGCACCACCATGCCCAACTAATTTTTAAATTTTTTGTAGAGACAGGGTCTTGCCATGTTGCCCAAGCTGGTCTCAAACACCTGGCTCAAGTGACCCTCCCGTCTTGGCCTCCCAAAGTGCTGGGATTATAGGTGTGAGCCACCACACCTGGCCACATTGCAATTTTACATAAGGTGGTCAGTGTAGGAGAAAGTGAGAACTGCACAAAGATATGAAAGCACAAAGATATTTAAATGAGAACCCTTAAATAACCTAGTTCACTATGTACAGGTGACAGGAAACTGAAAGGAAACAACTCACCAATCTTTATGTTATGTTGTGGGTGTTTTCGAATGAGCTGGACAATCTGGTGGGCAGCTTCTTGTCGGGAAGGAAGAACCAGGGCTGGGTTGCAATTGGTGTTGTCTAGGTATAAAGTATGGATCTGTTTCCCCAGTGTCAGGGCTGGCTCCTTTAGCATGGATGGTGTGTATCGAAAATCACCTAGAAGAATATGTATATGGGGGCAGAAGGTCAGAGACAAAAAAACAGAAGACAAGCATCTCCTACCTCCAACAATAGATGGGTGTTTGCTTACTAGTCTGTGAAAAAACTATTATGTAGCCTGGCACTGAACTATGCAGTATAGCTGCATGGTTTCTTTGTTGAAATGTCTCCATCCTGCTCCTGTTTTTCAATTACTCTTCACAAGGTTTGGACCCTTAAAGAGTGGGAAATTGGCTGGGTGCAGTGACTCATACCTATAATCCCAGCACTTTGGGAGGCCGAGCCAGGTGGATCACCTGAGGTCAGGAGTTCGAGACCAGCCTGGCCAACATGGTGAAACCTAGTATCTACTAAAAATACGAAAATTAGCTCGGTGTGGTGGTGGGCACCTGTAATCCCAGCTACCTGGGAGGCTGAGGCAAGAGAATCACTTGAACCCAGAAGGCGGAGGTTGCAGTGAACCACCATCATACCACTGCACTCCAGCCTGGGTGACAAGAGTGAAACTCCATTTCAAAAAAAAAAAAAAAAGAGTGGGAAATCAGTTGAGATGGGGTCACTATGCTCATATGTGATGAAGTTAGAAGGCCTTCAGCGCCTCCAGACTTCTATTGAGTTAAGGCTGCTCAAGAAAAGTCTGCCAGGTGTGGTGGCTTGTGCTGATAATTCTAGCTACTAGGGAGGCTAAAGCGGGAGGATCACTTGAGGTCAGGAGTTTGAGACCAGCCTGGGCAATATTGCGAGGCCCCAGTCTATACATTTAAAAAAAAAAAAAAAGTAAGTCTGAGAAGTCACTGGGATTCCTTGAGAGGCCCACCTGTGTAGAGGATGGTTCCAAAATATCCTTCAAAGAGAAACATGACAGAACCAGGACAGTGATTGGCATCGAGGAGGGTTACAGTCATGGTCTCTCGTCCAATTTCATCTAAGGGTAATACATGGCTCTCACCAATCTCCAGGGGTTGGATCCATTGCTTAGATACCTGAGAAAACAGTTAGTCATCCCAGTGACCACCGACTCCCCTCCCTGTTACTTCCCCGGGTCAGGGACTATGCTTTACATGAATCAGGAAAGCTGACCGAATCCTGAGTCACCGGGAACAGAAGCTGTAATGGGGATTCCCAAGCAATCTGCCCTTCCTCCTTCCACTCCCCATCCCACCCTTTGTACAATTTAATTAAGAGTTCAGCTGGCCGGGCGCGGTGGTTCACGCCTGTAATCCCAGCATTTTGAGAGGCCGAGGCGGGAGGATCATGAGGTCAGGAGATCGGGACTGTCCTGGCTAACACGGTGAAACCCCATCTCTACTTAAAAATAGTAATAAAAAAAAAAAGGTGGCGGGCACCTGTAGTACCAGGTACTCGGGAGGCTGAGGCAGGAGAATGGCGTGAACCCGGGAGGCGGAGCTTGCAGTGAACGGAGTGCCCTCCAGCCTGGGCAACGGAGGGACACTCCGTCTGGGTGGGGTGGGGAGAGAGTTCAGCAAACAGTCTAGTCAGCAATTTTCAAACTTACTCCTGATCTTAAGAGTGGGGTGGGGAGAGAGCTGGAGAACCACCCAGCACGTTAGGTGGATTCTTAAGATAAGGCAAATTTAGGCGGGGCGTGGTGGCTCACGCTTGTAATCCCGGATCACTTAAGGTCAGGAGTTTGAGAACAGCCCGGCCAACATGGTGAAACCCCGTCTCTACGAAAAATACACAAAATTAGCTGGGCGTGGTGGCGTGCGCCTGTAATCTCAGCTACTCAGGAGGCTGAGACAGGAGAATCTCTTGAACCCGGGAGGCGGAGGTTGTAGTGAGCCGAGATCGTGCCACCGCACTCCAGCCTGGCAGCAACAAGAGCGAGACTCCGTATCAGAAAAAAAAAAAAAAAAGGCAAGTTTGGGAAACATCAGCCTAGCTTATGTATAAAGGTAGCAATAGTTTCCTTGGCTGGACTAAAATATCTCCTCAACTTATAGCTAAATATCTCAAGTTGGTCACTTGGAAACCACGTTCCTATTCTGGGTTAAATTTGCATTTTTGGGTTCAAACAACTTCCGCATCAGTCTTGGTGGCCCCCATTCTATGACTCAAAGAATGACAGGTCGAAGTCCCAACCCAGATGCCTGGACCACCTCTTGGAGACTGACTCCAGCCCCATACCTGTAGGTGACGATGCAAGAGGTGGGCTGTAATCGGGGAGCAGTAGAGGGGCCGGGCCCAGGTGCTAGACAGGCCCACGGTGTGGTCCGAGTGCATGTGAGACAAGAAGAAGAGCCGTGCGGTGCCAGCCCGACGCAGGCTCCAGAAGTCCACTGCAATGGGCGTATGGGGGATCAGGACCCCATTCATGGTGGCAGGGTTGTAGTCACCAGTGGGATCTTCTCCGTGGGGGCAGGGCTCCTGCGTGAGGCTTCCACAACGGCGCCCCGATAAAAGTCATGCTGGAGCAAGAACAGGGCCAGGTACCCTAAGGAAAAGAGCCCAGCAGAGGAATAAGTCACTAGAGTGGGCAGAAAAAGGAAGTGACCGTGCCGGCGGGAGCCCAAATAGCGGAGGGCGCTCGACACTCCCAACCGCGCGGGAGCTGAGGCCAAGCCGGGCACTCAAAGCGCGCGCTGCTGGGAGGAGACAGGCCGAAGTAGCCGATTTCCGACTGCCCGCCGCAGCTCCACCAGAGGGAGCCGCGCGACTGCGCCTGGAGGGTGAGAGGTTGGGGGAAGGGCATCCTAAGGTCGGAGTCGGGACCAAGCTCAGCCCTCGCTCGCTGGGAGACCGGCAGCGCGCTTCTGTTTGGTCTCTTGACAAGGGGGCGGGACTTCCGCAGAAAGGAAGATTGGGCCTATCTGCGATGAGAACGGCTTGAAGGCGCAAGAAAAGCTGGAACTGGAGAGGGAGGGGTCTGCGGTCAGTCGGACGCGGCGCTGGAAATCCGGCGGAGGGCCTAGTGTTAGCGGGAGCGATCTGTGGGCGGGGCGAACGGCCTGCCGGGCGAGGGTAGGGCCTGAAGAGCCCAGGGTGGGGCTCGCGGGGTCGCGGAGGGCGTGGAAGTGTGTCAGGGTCAGCGTGCCGGCCCTACGGAAGCCGAGCCTGAGGCGAGATTTCGTCTTTAGTATTTTCACTGACTCATATTTCCTTTACTCAGGCTCCCACATCAAGACGAGAAGGAGCCCACGAGTTACCGTGGGAGCTGTGGGAGCTGCCCTGTGACTGTTAGGAAGATGCCGTACCTTGGCTCCGAGGACGTGGTGAAGGAGCTGAAGAAGGCTTTGTGTAATCCTCACATTCAAGCTGATAGGCTGCGCTACCGGAATGTCATCCAGCGAGTGATTAGGTATCACCTAACTCCCGTCGCGTGCTGTTTGCTCCCTTTGCAATCCCCATCAGGGCTCACTAGCCCCAGTCTCTCTGAAAGGGTAAATTAGCTTTCACACGTGGCAATTATATGGTTCGGTCTTCGTCCTGCTGCTTTGGAGTACCATCTCAGTCTCTCCTCTGCAGCATCTTTTACTTACCTGGGTAGTTTCCTCCATATCACAGGCTTGAACAATTACTGCTAACTCCTGGATCTATAATATAGCTAGTACAGACTTCTTTTTTTAGCTTCAGACCCACGTATCCCACTGCCTGCTTGGCATTTCCACGTGCATGGTTTATCAAAAGTATGTCCGAAATAGCACGGACATTCTTCCGTCTTCCTCAAACCTGTTCTTCGGCTTACATTTGTGTTGATGAATGCCACCAGCAGCGACTATGCGTGGGAGCCAACCTTGAGGACACCCGATCCCCACTTCTCATGTCAGATGGTTTGAATTCATAATTCTAAATATCCACCCTCTCTTGTTTATTGGCGTTGTTGCTCTGGTCCAGGCCTTCATCCCCAAAGCAATTGCAGCAGCTTACTAGTAGGCCACCTTGCCTCATTTGAGACAGAATTTTTCCATTATACAAATCTGAACATATAACTCTTGCCTACAGCTATGGTTCACAAACTTTACGGTGCACAAAAATCCCTGGGGGTGCTTTTTGTCATCCAGTCCAGGGATTGATTCTGATTTCAGTAAGGTAGGAGGGAACCCAGGAATCTGTATTTTTAATAAACATCTCAGCTGATTCCAGTAGGTGACCAGTTTGAGAAACAATGAAGTCCAAACTTACCACAGCACCCAAGGAACAAGCTGTTAATTCAACTACCTACAGACTCAAAAAAATGTATGCCGCTCCTGCTCATGTCTACATACCTCATACCTTCTGTTGCATCTATTACATCTGCCTAGTGAGCTCCTGCTCATTCCGGTAAAGTGTTACTTCCTCTGTGAAGAAACATTTTCTGACTTCCTGCCGGTGTTAGACCTCTGAATCCCCTCTGCGCCTTGTACAATACTTCTGTTTAAATACTTACTTATCATACCATAATTAACGGTATTTTTATCTGGCTCATTAATAGATTTGAAGTTCCTAGAGGTCTGAGACCACACCTTCTTCAAGATTATGTCCCAAGAGCATGTCCCTGGATGTAAAAGTTGAATTTCACCAAAGTACTAGGGATTCAATAAGTGTTTGTTGAGGCTGGGCACGGTGGCTCACGCCTGTAATCCCAGCACTTTGGGAGGCCAAGACGGGTGGATCACCTGCAGTCAGGAGTTTGAGACCAGCCTGGCCAACATGGCAAAACCCCGTCTCTACTAAAAATACAAAAATTTAGCCAAGCATGGTGGCACGCGCCTGTGGTCCCAGCTACTCAGGAGGCTGAGGCAGGAGAATCACTTGAACCTGGGAGGCGGAAGTTGTAATGAGCCGAGATTGTGCCACTGCACTCTAGCCTGGGTAACAGAGCAAGACTCCATCTCAAAAATAATAATAAGTGTTTGTTGAATGAATAGAAGAAGAATGTTTATTGCAGGCCTATGGTATGAAGTACTGTGTGATATAATAGACGTAATCCTGGCTGCTACCCTCTAAGAGATCACAAGCTAGTTGGGTAACCAGGAGATATGTAAGTAAAACTCCCTCCATTGTTAGTTGGGGATTTTGCATTTTACTTCTTTCTGTCATGTGCGTTGGTTTCAGGTACATGACTCAGGGCTTGGACATGTCTGGTGTTTTTATGGAAATGGTGAAGGCCAGTGCCACTGTAGATATTGTCCAGAAGAAGTTGGTTTATCTGTACATGTGCACATATGCTCCCCTGAAACCAGATCTGGCTCTCCTGGCCATCAATACGCTGTGCAAAGACTGCTCAGACCCCAATCCAATGGTGCGAGGGCTGGCGTTACGGAGCATGTGTAGCCTCAGGTGAGTACCGTCTTCTCTGTCTGGTCCTAAATGGCTGATGACTTCAAGAGATCACGCAGTAGGTTTTTAAAGAGGATAATTTATTTGAGCTCCTTAATACTGGGGAAAACATTATCGTACCCTGAACTTAGATTTTCAGCCACTGCTTTGGCTTAATAACCTGTATCATATAATTTTATTACAGGGAGTTTTTGATTCTCACTCTAAGTAAAATAGTCCTCAATTTTGGTTAAATATCTCTAAACAATTATGTGTATATATGTTTTTGCTGCCTGTGCATCATTATTCCAAATGAAAAGTCAAATTAGGCTGAGCGCAGTGGCTCATGCCTGTAGTCCCAGCACTTTGGGAGGCTGAGACAGGAAGACTGCTTGAGCTCAGGAATTCGAGACCAGCTGGGCAAGATGGTGAGACCCTATATCTACAAAAAATTAAATGGGCATGGTGACACGCACCTGTAGTCTCAGCTACTAGCTAGCAAGGCTGAGACAGGAGGATGGCTTGGGCCCAGGAATTAGAGGCAGCGGTGTCCTATGATTGGGCCATTGCACTGCAGCCTGGGTGACAAAGTGAGACCCCATCTTGAAAAAAACAAGAGAAAAACAAAAACATCAAATTATGGCTTTTTAAGCTTGATAGAGGCTTTCTGCAATTCTTCATGATCTGATGGGTGTAGCATCTACTAAACTCTGTTAGGTGAACAGGGGCTGATATATGTCAAAATTAGTATTTCCGAATCTGGCTGACTCCAGGATGTGTTGCTTAGGATGCCTGGTGTGCAGGAGTATATACAACAGCCTATTCTCAATGGTCTGCGGGATAAGGCTTCGTATGTCAGGAGAGTGGCAGTCCTTGGATGTGCCAAGATGCATAATCTTCATGGAGACTCTGAAGTAGGTAAGTTCAGTGTAATCCATCATGGTCAATGTGCCTCTATTATGTATAACTTTATAAAAGATTATGTAGCTTTGGTAGAAAATAATAATGTGGCCCCAGTTCTGTACATATCTCTTTAAGTAGGATGCAGGGCTTGGTATCTTCTGGAGATGAGAAGTCCTTTCTCTCGGGCCCCTGTGAGATCCTTTGTATTAGCTGCTTAAAACAGTCTGGACATGGCAGTTTTTTTTTTGCCTTGCACTTTAGTATGGCCTTTGTCATTTTTGTAGCAGAGAAGTTCAACTTTGTCTACTTGGAGCTATTACTCTGGCTACATCCCTGTTACTCTGAAGCTTTTCTTCTTTATCTAAGAACTTTGTTCTTTTTTATAGATGGTGCCCTGGTAAATGAATTATACAGTTTGCTGCGTGACCAGGATCCAATTGTAGTTGTGAACTGCTTGAGGTCTCTAGAGGAAATTCTGAAACTGGAAGGAGGCGTTGTCATCAATAAGCCCATTGCTCACCATCTCTTAAATCGGTTTGGATGCCTCAGTGCTCTTTTTATTATGAGATCTGTGTCCTTGTGGGATCTGTTGATGTGTTGAACAACTTATGTGAAGTAGAAAAGAAAGTTAACCATTATTATTATTATTATTTGAGACGGAGTGTTGCTCTTGTTGTCCAAGCCGGAGTGCAACGGCACTATCTTGGCTTAGCGCAACCTCCGCCTCCTGGCTTTAAGCAATTCTCCTGCTTCAGCCTCCTGAGTAGCTGGGATTATAGGCATGCGCCACCATGCCCGGCTAATTTTGTATTTTTAGCGGAGACAGGGTTTTTCCCTGTTGGTCAGGCTAGTCCCAAACTTCCGACCTCAGGTGATCTGCCCACCTTGGCCTCCGAAAGTGCTGGGATTACAGGCGTGAGCCACCGTGCCCAGCCAGTTAACCACTATTAACTCCCTCACATTTCACCAAGAGAGTTTCTTTTATTTGCCTTAGTTTCCCTTATTGATATAGGGAAATAGAAATATACTGTGGGAATAGGTTCTACCCTTCTCTAGTCATTATGTCCCCCAAACTAAGCCATTTATAGTGTCTTAAAATGTAGGGAACCTGGACCCACTGTATGCTGATCATGTCTTTGGTCTTAGATGAGTGTGCATTTGTATTAACAGCTCATCTTGGAATTTTAAGCCTTTTTTGTGTAAACTTTAAATAGTACATGAAAAGAATGATTTAATTATGGCACAGCCTATTTTTAAGAATTCTCCCTTTGTTATGATGAACAACCAACTGGTCATATGGCAGTGGCATGGAAATGGCCCTAATTTTGTTGCTAAAATAGCTCTTTTGTTTTCTTTTTTGGATAGAATGTCAAAACTGGACCAATGGGGCCAGGCTGAGGTATTGAACTTTCTGCTACGCTACCAACCCCGCAGTGAGGAAGAACTATTTGACATTCTCAATCTGTTGGATAGTTTTCTCAAGAGCAGTAGCCCAGGTGTGGTGATGGGAGCTACCAAACTTTTTCTGATCTTGGCAAAAAAGTTTCCCCATGTACAAACAGATGTCCTTGTGCGGGTCAAGGGACCTTTGCTAGCTGCCTGTTCTTCGGAGAGCCGTGAGCTCTGTTTTGTTGCTCTTTGTCATGTACGCCAGATCTTGCATAGTTTGCCAGGTCACTTTAGCAGCCACTACAAAAAGTTTTTTTGCTCCTACTCGGAGCCCCACTACATCAAACTACAGAAAGTGGAGGTGCTGTGTGAGCTGGTGAACGATGAGAATGTGCAGCAGGTGCTAGAGGAGCTTCGAGGGTACTGCACGGATGTGTCTGCGGACTTTGCACAGGCTGCCATCTTTGCCATAGGTAGGTGTCTGCTGCTTTTCCTTCTTGAGAGACCAGCCAGCGAGAAAGCTGTGGTTAGAGGAACCATAGAGAGCAAAGGGCACGAATCTTGCTTCAGAAGCGAAGTACTATGCACTAAATAATTGGGTCAGTGACTACAAACAAGGGGGAAGAGACTTGTTTTTTTTTTCTTTTTTTTTTTGGTCAAGATTGGTGTTGCCCTATCTTCCAGGATGGAGAATACAGGTAACTCAAACTACAATACTTAAAATTTTTGTTGTTTTGTATCCAAAATGCTTTCCTATACATCATCTTACTACAGTCTCATGAGACAGTCAGGAAAAGTAGACAAATGTCATTAACTTCATTTTAAAGATGAAGAAACTCAGGCACAAAAACAGTTATCAAGTTGCCAAAAGGACATACAGTTTTAGAAATGGGACTGAAATGCAACTTTCCTGACTCAAAGTCCTTTGTTAATCCACCAGTCGTTTATTGAGCTTTTACTATGGGCTATGTATTATGCTGAATGTAGACAAACACAGAATAATTCCTAAATCTTACAGACTTTTTCATAGTACCCTGTCTGGAATTTAAAAGGCTGGAGGTGACTCAAAAACTGAAAACAGCTGTTGAGCTAAGTTTTGAAGGATTTCAAGTATAGGAGGAGGAGGAACCCTCATATTTGGAATAAAACATGGTTATTTTAGGGGCAGAGAAGAGGGAGCAAAGAGGAGACTAGAAATCCTTAGGAGACTGCTGTCAAGTGTCCCCTGCAAAAATACTCCTTTGCAAGTGTGCTGCAACAAAAAGGGTGTCTCATATCTGGCTGCCATGTAAATACCTTTGTTACTATAAGTTTTCAGCCTTGTTTAATGGGGAATTGTTTTGCTATGAGCTTTTAATTTTCTAGTAGTCAGTGAGAAAAAATGATTTTTACCAAAGTTCCCTTTATAGCAAACTTATATTCTTAGTTCATCAAAGAATGATTTGTTTTTTCTCTTTTTTGTTTTTAGATAGCTCTGTTTCTTTTGTCTTTGATTGGTGGGAGATGATTTTAGATTGAGGTATTAATATTTCACTTAGCAGTTTTCTCTTCTTTCCCTTCTTTTGTAGGTGGCATTGCCAGGACTTACACAGATCAATGTGTTCAGATTCTAACAGAGTTGCTGGGTCTTCGACAAGAGCACATTACCACAGGTAATGCCTGCCTTTTTAGGATTTCTGATTTTTTTGTCAAGTGCCTGGCTTATAGTACTTGCTCAAAACATGTTTGTTGTTGAATGAATAATACAGAGATTTGAACTTTTCTTTGCATCATCATCTGTTGCTGTTAGAGAAGCATAGGGTCTATAGATCTAATAGGATATTGCGTCTTTAGGCTGCCTTGAGTCTATAAGGCTGTACTATAGACAATGAAGGCTACTAGGATGACCTTGCTTGATATTTCACCAATTTTACTTCTCCTTTTGTTTTATGGCAGTATGCCATAGGCAGTGGCTTCCAGGGTTGGGACTAGGGTAAGTCAAGCAAGATGCCTAGGATGCAAAATTTAAGAAGGCACTCAGTCTTAGGTTCCTGCAAGAGCCAATCCTGCATGTCTTCTTCAATTTTGAACCCTAGGCACCTCACTTGCTTTATCATTTTCCCAAGCCTGGTGGTTCCATTTATACTGTCTTTAGTGTTTCATTCAACAGCAATACTACCCCACACACATTTGCATATGGCTTTACATTTTACAAAGTGCTTTTTCATACATTAGTTCATTTATCCTCACATCAATCTGGTAAGAGCAATATGCAGTCAAGAAATTATTGCTCATTTCATTACATTTCTTAGATAACCATTGACCATACCTCCAAAACCCATTTTATAGAAATCCAGCCAGAACCATGAGTCTGAATACATGACTGTTCTTAAGATTCCTCCCTACCTGGAGGCTCTAATCCTGTGCTTTTGTACCCTGGCCTGTATTGTAGTGGTGGTGCAGACTTTCCGAGACCTGGTTTGGTTGTGTCCTCAGTGTACTGAAGCTGTGTGTCAGGCCCTGCCCGGCTGTGAGGAGAACATTCAAGATAGTGAGGTAGACTATAATTCTCCTTTACTTCTAGGTAGAGGGAGAATGCTTGAAACCTTGCCCTTTAAAATGGAATCTAATTATTCTCTCTACCCTGTGTTTGAAGTGGACACTCTTCGAATTGATTGCCACCTTAGATTCTCTTTTGGATATAGATGGCATATAAATTATAAAAACAAGATTTATCTGACGGTTTTTATTACAAAACTCTGATACCATTGTTCTCTTGAACAATTTTGTTTTGTTTTGTTTTGCTTGAGATAGTCGCCCAGGCTGGAGTGCAGTGGCGTGATCTCGGCCCACTGCAACCTCTACCTCCCAAACTCAAGTGATTCTCCTGCCTCAGCCTCCCAAGTAGCTGGGATTACAGGTGTGCACCACCACGCCCATCTAATTTTTTAATTTTTAATAGAGTTTTGCCATGTTATCTAGGCTGGTCTAGAATTCTAGCCTCAAGTGATCCACCCGCCTCAGCCTCCCAAAGAGCTGGGATTACAGGCCTAAGCCACTGCGCCCGGCCTCTCTTGAACAGTTTTGAGTCAGAGATTTAGACCGTGGAGTTTTTAGCTAGAATGAGAATTAGAGTCATTTGTGAAATTTTTACAAAGATTTGGACGTAATCACAGGTCTACTGACTTAAATATTCAGGGGTAGTGGACCTAGACAGATAACTTTTTTTTTTTTTTTGAGACAGAGTCTAGCTCTGTTGCCCAGGCTGGAGTGCGGTAATGCCATCTCGACTCACTACAACTTCTGCCTCCTGGTTTCAAGCAATTCTCCTGCCTCAGCCTCCTGAGTAGCTGGAACTACACGCGTCCACCACCACGCCTGGCTAATTTTTGTATTTTTAATAGAGACAGGGTTTCACCATGTTGGCCAGGCTGGTCTCGAACTCCTGACCTCAGGTGATCCACCCTCCTCGGCCTCCCAAAGTGCTGGGATTACAGGCACAAGCCACCGTGCCCAGCTGACAGATACATTTTTAAGAAGCTTCACAGATGAATTTGATGTGCACTCTAGGTTAGTAACCACTTCTGTGAAAATTTTAGAGAAATTCTTCGAGCAACTTCCACTGAAACACTAAACCCCAATTGGGCCAGAGGCCCCAAACCTGAGGAAACCTTATTTATTGCTTAATCCAACATAGGCTATGAAAGTTTTGAGTTTCCTCTTGTGTATTAGAATTTCATTCCTATTTGTTATAGAGAGTATAGTATAGTAGGGGGAATTGGTAAATTAAATGAAGTAACTAAAGATTATACCTTTTCTGCTGGCACTAAGCAAAAAGCAAAACCAGTGGCTGTCTACGATCTCCTTTGTTTTAGACGGTCAAGTGTTGAGCGCTTGCTCTTATTCCTTTATTCTCTAGGGGAAGCAAGCACTTATTTGGCTACTTGGTGTCCACGGGGAAAGAATTCCTAATGCTCCTTATGTGTTAGAGGACTTTGTTGAGAATGTGAAGTCGGAAACATTTCCAGCTGTTAAGATGGAGCTGCTCACTGCTTTGCTGCGCCTTTTCCTCTCTCGACCTGCTGAGTGCCAGGACATGCTGGGACGATTGTTGTATTACTGCATAGGTGGGTTTTGCAGGAGGAAATAGTGCTTGCCATGACCCATAGTAAAGATTCTTAATAGCTTTCATTGTTTGGTGAGTCATGTCTGGGACCCGAGAAGAAAATGTTAATGCTTCCTAGGGTTTCCTCTCTCCTTCATTTTTTTCTCCTATTATGGTTGGCACAAAAGTAGGAGGAAAGTGGTTTTGTTTTTAATGAAGTCAATCTGTTGTCTTACCTCAGAGGAAGAAAAAGATATGGCTGTACGGGACCGAGGTCTCTTCTATTATCGCCTCCTCTTAGTTGGCATTGATGAAGTTAAGCGGATTCTGTGTAGCCCTAAATCTGACCCTACTCTTGGACTTTTGGAGGATCCGGCAGAAAGACCTGTGAATAGCTGGGCCTCGGATTTCAACACACTGGTGCCAGTGTATGGCAAAGCCCACTGGGCAACTATCTCTAAATGCCAGGGGGCAGAGCGTTGTGGCCCAGAGCTTCCTAAAACTTCATCCTTTGCCGCGTCAGGTAAAAACAGTCCTTACATTAAATCTTGTCATGATAAATCTTTACCTTTTCAATGATTGGCAGAAAGTAGAGTATCCTAGCACTAAAGCTCAGACTGTTGTCTGAATTTGAAGCATTTGTGAACAAGAAAGAGGTTCATCATTGGTTATTTCAGCCATTTATCCAAAGATGAAAGTCACATTGTGTACATTTGGGAATTTGGGTAAAAAACTTAGCTCCTACAGATTAAGAGTATCTTTCACACAAGTTTTCTGTCTCTTTTTAGGACCCTTGATTCCTGAGGATAACAAGGAGAGAGAACAAGAACTCCCTGATTCTGGAGCCCTCATGCTAGTCCCCAATCACCAGCTTACTGCTGATTATTTTGAGAAAACTTGGCTTAGCCTCAAAGTTGCTCATCAGCAAGTGTTGCCTTGGCGGGGAGAATTCCATCCTGACACCCTCCAGATGGCTCTTCAAGTAGTGAACATCCAGACCATCGCAATGAGTAGGGCTGGGACTCGGCCATGGAAAGCATACCTCAGTGCCCAGGATGATACTGGTTGTCTGTTCTTAACAGAACTGCTATTGGAGCCTGAAAACTCAGAAATGCAGATCTCTGTGAAACAAAATGAAGCAAGAACCGAGACACTGAATAGTTTTATTTCTGTATTAGAAACTGTGATTGGAACAATTGAAGAAATAAAATCATAACAGATTCTTGTTGCTTGTCCAGAGTAAGATGAATAACTATTACAGTTTCTTAGTCTTTCTTTTTAGAGCTGGCAGTAAGTCCAGATAATATCAGATACAAAGGAGAGTGGAAAATCTAGAAATCAGGATTCTTAAGTTTTTGGCCAAAGAACATTGATTCATTCCTTTCATTCCTATTGGCAATTGACCCCATTTTTCAATGATGATGTTGTAAAGGTTAATGTTGGTAAGGGAATGGGGTAAGGATGGGATTTGGATTATTTCCTAATCAATTTTAGGAATTGTGTTAGTAATTAAAGATGGCTGATGTGTGGAAACTGACAGGGGTCATCATTTATGGGGGTCATCTTTTCTTCCCTGGATTATTATAGCAAATTGCTAACTGTTCTCATATTTCCAATCATGCTTTTTAGGCCAGATTCCAAAGTCCTTAATGTCATCTAAAGTACCTCTTTGGTGTCAAGTCTTGCCACTCCCAAAATGCCTTTTCTTCTGGCAGAAGCAAACCATTTGCATTGCAGTTCCCTGTATACACCAGCTTCTTTCACCTCTGTGCTTTAAACCTGCTTTTATTATCTAGAACATTTTTTCACCCTCATATCTTCTTGAATTAACACCTTGTCTATCTTTCAGTGTTCAGCTCACTCATAAGCTCCTTCAGGAAGTTTTCTTTAACCCTCACTGCCTTCATTAGGGATCTCCTTCAAGCTGTGAAAGTAGCCAGAGCATACCTCTAGCAGTAGTACTGTGATTGTTTTCTTGTTGCTTGTCCTCGATTTTTATTCTGTTCTTACCTGACCACATTTTGTACATTGAAGCAACTTATGGCAAAAACAAATCTAATAAAATGATGGTAAAATATAAATAAGACTAGCGAATCCAGAATGGGAAAATTAAAATACCAGTTAAGACCAGCTGGGTTAGGGATGGGGAAATACACAAATGTTCAGGCTGTTTGGGTCTATTAGGTGATATAGTTGAGCCTTGATTTGTCTCTATAGGCGATTTAGCAGTCATAAGGGAAACAGTTATAATTGTCATCAGAGAGGAAGAAACATTGATTTCTAAAAGAAATTTACATGTTGTTTCACATAGGTGGTACTAAGATATGTGCAAGATCCTATGAGAAGTTAGTAATGGGTTTCACATGACTTTCTTACAGTATTCGTCAACGAAAGCAGAGACGTTAATATAGAGCTTAGATTGGGTGCAGTCGTTCACGCCTGTAACCGAGCACTTCAGGAGGCCAAGGAGGGAGGATTGCTTGATGCCAGGAGTTCAAGACCAGCCTGGGCAGCATAGTGAGACCCTGTGTGTAAAAAAATTCAGTTGGCCGGGCATGGTGGCACATGCCTGAAATCCCAGCTGCTCAAGAGGCTAAGGCAGGAGGATTACTTGAGCCCAGGAGTTTGAGGTTACAGAGAGTGGTGATCACACCACTGCACTCCAGCTCCAGCCTAGGTGACAGAAGGAGACCCTATCAAAAAAAAAAAAAAAAAAAAAAAAGTAGGCTAGACATGGTGGCTCATGCCTTTAATCTCAGCAGTTTGGGAGACCAAGGTGGGTGGATCACTTGAGGCTAGGAGCTTGAGACCAGCCTGGGCAATGTACTGAGATCCCCATCTCTACAAAAGTAAAAAATTAACCAGGTGTGGCAGTGTGTGCCTGTAGTCCCAGCTACTTGGAAGGCTGAGGTGGGAGCACTGCTTGAGCCTAGGAGGTTGAGGCTGCAATAAGCTATGATCACACCACCGAACTCCAGCCTGGGCTACAGAGCAAGACCCTGTCTCAATAACAACAACAACAACAACAACAACATGGTGCTTAATGAAGGCATTTCTTCAAGGACTTAACATGATCCAAGAATATAGCCTTCATCATCCAGCTTAATTCAAGGATTTCTACTATCTAGATACATAGATGAACACATACCCTTCAGAAAATTTTTCACCTATCACTTCTCTCAATTAGGCTCTTTTTTTTTTTTTTTTAATCTGAGACGGAGTGTTGCTGTGTCACCCAGGCTGTAGTGCAGTGGTGTGATCTCAGCTCACTGCAACTTCCACATTGCAGGTTCAAGCCATCCTCCTGCCTCAACCTCCCAAGTGGCTGGGACTACAGGCATGCAACACCATGCCTGGCTAATTTTTGTATTTTTAGTACAGACGGGGTTTCGTCATGATGGCCCAGGCTGGTAACTCCTGACCTCAGGTGTTACCCAGCCTCAACTAGGCTCTTAATAGGAGTAGATAACAAACAGTATTGAATTTTCTGGTAAGAGCCTGGGTTTTGTGAGTTGTTTATTGAATGGTCTTCCCCATTGAACAACTTTTTTTTTTTTTAAACGGAGTTTTGCTCTTGTTGCCTAGACTGGAATGAATGGCACGGTTTTGGCTCACTGCAACCTCCGTCTCCTGGGTTCAAGCAGTTCTCCTACCTCAGCCTCCCGAGTAGCTGTGATTACAGGTGCCCACACCACACCCAGCAAATTTTTTGTATTTTTAATAGAGACAGGGTTTCACCATGTTGGTCAGGCTGGTCTCAATTTCCTGACCTCAGGTGATCCACCTGCCTCGGCCTCCCAAAGTGCTGGGATTACAGGCATGAGCCACCGCGCCTGGCCTGAACAACTTTTAAGAATGATTCTCGCCGGGTGTGGTGGCTCATGCCTCTAATCCCAGCACTTTGGGAGGCCAAGGTGTGTGGATCACCTGAGGTCAGGAGTTTGAGACCAGCCTGGCCAACATGGTGAAACCCCGTCTCTACTAAAAATACAAAAATTAGCTAGGTGTGGTGGCGGGCACCTGTAATCCCAGCTACTCAGGAGGCTGAGGCAGGAGAATCACTTGAAACCCGGGAGGTGGAGGTTGCAGTGAGCCAAGATCATGCCATTGCACTCCAGCCTGGGCAGCAAGAGTGAAACTCTGTCTCAAAAAATAAAAAATAAAAAATAAAAAAAAGAGTGATTCTCTCTTTCCTTTTATTTCCATAGTGCTTGCCACATAGTATTACTCAGTAAATCTTTATTGAATGAATGGCTGTATATAATTAGATTCTGATGTGTTTTGGGATTGATGTTAGAAATGAGTTTTACGATACTGTATCAACTATATGGAAAATAATGGAATTTCTTCTAGACCAGGATTTCTTAAAAGTGGCAATACTGACATTTGAGGCCAGATAATTATTCGTTGTGAGGGGCTTTCCTCTGCACTGTAGAATGATTATTAGCAGTATCTCTGGCCTCTACCCACTGGATACCAGTAGAATCCTCAGTTGTGACAACTAAAAATGTCTTTAGACATTGTCAAAGTTACCCTGGGACAGGTGGCAAAATGGCCATTACTTGAGAACCACTGATTTAGACCATGGATCCTCAGGGGTAGGAAAGGGAGGGATTAGAACAACTTCAGAATTGCATTTTCTGTATTTTTATGGTTCAGTTAAATGGTGAATGTTTACATACTAGGAGAAATAAAATTGAAGTGCTGCCAATTCAAAGCGTAGCAAGGGGCTGGGCGTGATGGCTCACACTTGTAATCCCAGCACTTTGGGAGGCCGAGGTGGGTGGATCACAGGATCAGGAGTTCAAGACCAGCGTGGCCAACATGGTGAAAACCCATCTCTACTAAAAATACGAAGAATTAGCTGGGTGTAGTGGCGGGCACCTGTAATCCCAGCTACTCGAGAGCCTGAGGAGGGAGAATCACTTGAACCCGGGAGGCGGAGGTTGCAGTGAGCCGAGATTGCGCCACTGCACTCCAACCCAGGCGACAGAGTGAGACTCCATCTCAAAAAAAAAAAATAGTATATCAAGGGAACAGGATGCAGGTGGTGGGAACTGAGTAAATTGATTGACTTTTTAAAATTAAAGGCTATAACTGAAAAGTTGATCTAAAGAAAATTGGGTATGACTAAGCAACTGAATAAATGAAAATACTAAAGTAATCCCAACTATTGGAGCTTTTAGAAGACTATGTTCTTCTTGGTCGCTTTTCTGTAATGTAAGAGGCATACATAGAATATGAAATTGTTGCTTTTGGAAAATATACTTTTAAGATTATCTCAATGAAGAACTGATTTCTCCTATAGCCTGGCTTTACTAATTTATAAGCAAAATGACTAAAGCTCAAGTATACTATGAAGTTAATTCTTTAACATTTTCCCCCCTAGGAACTCTCTGTAGCTTCTGCAGACATGGGGTTTGATGATGTGATATAAGTAGATGTTTATATTTTACAATCCAAGAAGGTAGTCCATACTGTGCTCTTAAAGCAGCAGCCTTCTAATATCATTCTTAGTTGACAGGTAAACAGAATGTTATGTATGTAATGAGGTCCCACAAAGACAATAGTGTTTTGGAACACCGCAGAGGCAATAATTTGCTTAGTTACCATCATTTTATAGTTGTGAATCAGTGACTGTGATGTATTTCCGTTCCCCCTATTTTTGAACAGGCGTTCTGTTAAAAGTATTCTATTCCTTTCTTAGATATGGGGTGTTTAGGGGAGAGGGGACACATTGCTTGTTTTCTTAGTTACAAGTCTCCATGTTGAGAGGAGTTACACCCAAGGATCTTCATCCACATGCACATCTGGTACACATGACAGGATCCTGGACTTTAAGCCAATGATACAATGAGACAAAGCTTTTCGGGGAGGGATGTAAATTGTTGTGGTCAGAGGGTAGCAAGAGAAACAAGTGACGGTGAAAAAATTCTGGCCTCATCATTTTTCAGTAATAATTAAGAGCACAATATTACAACTGCAAGGGTGAAGGTATGTGGGCTGATGGAAAGGGATAGTTTTGGAGGGTGCTTTATTGAAGGCCCAGAAGAAGTAAACAAACGTGGAAAATTTACTCCACATTGCCAATGACAGGCTGTACTCTCTTTCTATAGCTTTACAACATTGATTATAAAAGACAATGCAAAGGAGTTGAAATTAGACTTTTTTTTTTTTTTTTTTTGAGACAGAGACTTGCTTTGTCATCCAGGCTGGTGTGCAGTGG